AAGTAAAAAGTGCATTTTATTTTCAAAGAATATTCTGTTTTCAAGTAATAAATGGTTTAATATGGATGATAAGGACAAGTAAAGGTGTAGTAGCGAAGTTTAAGAGCCAACGGTTATTTAAATCTTCCGGTATACACTTGTCTAGCCATATGGTTTCACGATGGGCCCCCAACGGACCTTCATGGGAACCGAGTACAACCCCACGCTACTGTACACACTTCATGATCACCCACCCCTTGGCAAACGTTAATTGTCCTTTATCCATGCCTAATTTAGAGCCACATATCCTGAATTTAAAAATATGAGGATGTATTTGATCCCTTAATACTCCTCAACCGAGAAGTAACACCATATGATCTAGGATTTAAAACAATGCTGTTTTTGTACTGTAACTAATTTTTAAAATTAAAAAGTGTTAACTTTTTGAACAATAATAATAAAATTGTTACTTAATAATACTTAATATTGATTTGAAAATTATAAAAAATTAAAAATTTATTATTATTTTTATTATTATTATTAGTATAATTTTTGATTCATTATATGCCACTGTATTGAATATTATTATTAATGAACAACATGGCTTTGTAAGGGGTCGATCTGCATTGACTAATCTTGGAATTTTTGTGAATTACCTGAGCACCAACCTTGAACTTGGTGGTCAGGTTGGCGTGATTTATGCTGATTTGAGCAAGGCATTTGACAAAGTTGATCATAATGTTCTGCTGAGAAAGTTAGAAGTTATGGGCATGCCTGTTGATTTTGTTTGTTTTTTGAAAAGCTATATTTCTGGCAGGTGTCAAGTTGTTCGAATTGATCAGGCCTATTCAGATCCTTTTTTTGCAACATCGGGTGTTCCTCAAGGATCAAATCTTGGACCACTTCTATTTATCTTAAATATTAATGACATTGATTTGGTTTTTAGAAATTCTTTTTTTCTTTTATACGCTGATGACCTTAAGTGTTATAGGATTATTGGTCCTACTGATCCATGTCTAAATTGCTCTGAACTTCAACAAGATTTAGATCGTTTGGATGATTGGTGTTCCCTTAATCATATGACTGTTAATATCAATAAAAGTTGTGTTCTTTCTTTTTCAAAAAGAAATACATTGGTGTATTGTTATACAATTGGTGGTGAAGAAATAATTAGAAGAACTAAAATATCAGATTTGGGATTATTATTTAATAATGATTTTTCGGGTGTACTTCCGAATAAGGGGGACCTCCGATTTCAATAAAAATTGGTTTACCAACGTATTTTGATGCGCTGATTACGAAAATGATAATGAAATTTGGCGCAAATTTCATCTTTATGGTGAAAACCATAAAAAACCATAAATTGTGGTTTTTTGCGTATAATTCGTAAAAAACGAAAAATTTTGAAAAACTTTTTAAACAAAAGTTATAGAACTCACCAAAATACATATTTTATGTTCTTATCATTATTTGCTAAAATCCATTATTTTCCGAGAAAAATGTAAAAAACCATAAAATACCATAAAAAGGGGTCAAAAAATACTTTTGCTCAAAATAACAGCCAATTTTAACAAAATACAGTTTCTTTACGTATTTTGATACTCTGATCACGAAAATCATATTGAAAATTGGTGCAAATTTAATGATTATGGTAAAAAACCATAAAAAAACCCATAAAATAACCATAAAATGGTGGTTTTTTGCCTCAATTCGTGTACCGTTGGTTTTGTCAAGATTTCTTTTTAATGATTTATTGTTTTTGTATAAAATTTTGAATGGGTTTATTTTATGTCCTGCTCTTTTATCAATGATCAATTTAGCTGTTCCTTCTAGAATTACTAGACATTTTGTACCTTTCCGAGCAAACTATCATAGAACGAATTATGGAAATAATGAACCTATTTGTAGGATTAGTAGAGAGGCTAATACAATCTCAGATCGAATTAATTTTTTTGACAATAATTTACAGAGCTTTACTTTAGCATTGCGTAGATTAGTTTTAAGTTTCGATAATGTTGATGAGCCAGCCTAGATTTTAGTTATGAAATATTGTAATTACTATTGTAATTTTATTCTTTTAAGTACTTTTGTACGAAAGGGCATGTCCTGTTTATTATGGTAAATAAATAAATAAATTATTATAAGTATATTTTATAATATACAAATAAGGTATACACAATGTTTTGGTGATATTAAAGTTTTTTTATACAATAAGCATTATATTGTATATCCTTATAAGAATGTTCATAGACTTTCAAAAAATTTTGACGCCTATATTGGATTAGAATTATTGAAAAATAAATTTTTGTACCTACATTTGTATTCGTTGAGCAAAAAAAAGCATATTAAGTTTTAAAAATATTTATTCCATGATAGGCCTATCACCTGGTAAAATTCAATTCGTTTTCTTCCTATATTTGCAGGTTATATTTATTTATAAAGTTATCAACCTCTTTATCAACCTCTTTTATATAGACCATATGAAAATAAAACAAGGATAATCATCAAAAACGTTTGTAAAATTGAATGCAAGTAAAATTTTTTATGATTGTTTTCCTTTTATTTCTAAATTAGTTTATTCTTAACAGTCATGAAATTCCTAAACTGTGATTCAATTTTAATTAATGAAATCAGGAAAACATTTTTATCATTTTGAAGCTTTTTGTCTGAAACTGGAAAGGATTTTTTTCTGTTAAGGGATGATCCCCTGATATTTTGATATATCCTTGATTCCTGATTTAACTTGTAACCTCCACATTTAGGGTGCATATCATGGGGGGAAGGGTATGAATACTCACCCTCATCCGTTATTGGCTAACGAGAAACCCCACTTTACCAATAGGAAACGGTTCCGGTCACCCTGCAAGTATTTACCTTCTGTAATAGTGTGCTGTATTCTGCACAAACTGGAACTTCATTGTGACTATTGTCTTGATACAAGGTTGTTTCTCGAGTTGTGTCTCATCAACAAGTTCTGTAATTTATTAAAGTGCGGTTCTATAGAAAACTATTCTATAGCATTTTCTTAATAAGAAAAAGGAATTTTTTCACAACTGTAAGGTTAGTTCTACTCTTTATTTTGCAAATGTTTTGTCAACAAAAAAGTTTGTTGAAACTAAGAATTAAAATTTTTTGGCTAATACAAGAACCCCATATAAATAATTTTTTAATGAAGAAAATTATAATAAAAATAAACATAAGCGAGAACGGTAAAGATAATTGAAATAAATATTTCTTTACATGATTGTCAACTTATATATACACTAAGAAAATTGTTTGGTTCCAGCAACAAAAATTTTGTTATACTAAAAAAGCTTTTATTTAATATAAGTGGAACAAAACAGATTGCGTGAACCAAATCTTTTTTGTCATTGAGTTCACTTAAATGAAATATTTAAGTTTACAAAAATATTTAACACTCGTAATAAATATTTAAATTTACTAGAGTCAAAATAATTTATTTTAGTAAAAATTGGTTATATAAGGTTGATGTTATTGATATTAATTCATATTCTAAGTAAAAGTTTGTCTTAAATAGTTTCCAGTTTTTTAATTGAATTAATAATTAAAAAATTTCAAGTGTATTGTGAGATTATTTTGGTGTTGAAGAATATAAATTCCCTTAATATAACCTGAAACTGAAAGTTAACAATTATTTTGTCTTTAAAGAAGCCGCAATTAAATTTATATTTGTTTTTCTAAACAACATATTTAGTATAGATAAAAAAATAAACTTTGTATGTAAATAGACTGAAACAACACTTTATCAGTCTAAATAACAACATGCTTCATCTATTATTTCCAAAAGAAATTTCAACACAAGTATTTTGTACGAAGATGTAAATTTATAAAAAAAATATTAATATTATTAATATTGACGTAATTTAAATGCTGATGTAAGATTTTTTTGTTAGGTTGAGATAAGAAATTATACGCAGTAACAACAAAATAATTAAGTCAATTAAAATAAACAATTTCTGCGAATATCAGAAAAAATGTAATAAATTTGAATCCTTCGGTTACACTAGATAAATAATTAGTTCAATCGAATTTCCTATAAGTTAATTTTCTCGTATTATGTACCTCTTCCACCTAAAAGAAACTATATAGTGCCAAGATCGCTGACACATAAATAAATTAACATAGCCCTCAAAAGACTACAATTATTATATATTTTGAAATCGACCGCCATGCGCAATAGGTCACTGCGCAACGATTTCTGCTTAAGCGGCAATAAATTCTCACAAAAATTAACTTATGGGTTTTAATAATAAACTGACTATATATCACATATTTAATTCTTTATTCTAATAATGTTATATAATTATTTAAAATAATTTATTAAAAAATGTTTATAATTTCAATATCTTTTTAAAATAAATGTTGATTTACTTTAATTAATTAATTAATTGAAATTTTTTAAAACAATAAGTTCAGAACATATGCAATTTTTCATATTTTTCTGTTCTTTATTTATGAATTTGGTATGTTTTTAGGACCTTAATTTATTTATGAATAAAAGTTTAATATTACAGAAGTCAAAATGTCGAAACCAATATGGTGGATGATTTTTAAAAAATTTGTCTGAATTGATACAAATTTGTCACATGGGGGGTTCTGAGGTTGATTTTCCATTTAATAAATTTTGCTTACGAAGATGATATATTTTATAAATAAATTTAATATAAATATTGACCATTAATAAATCTAGAACTACGCGTATAACGATAGTCACTGGTCTGATTAGCGTCATTTTAACAAGTTTAAAATTTATAGTGGGAAGGATCCCATAAGATGGACATTTCGTTTAGAATTTTTGCTCTGTGCCCAAAAAAATAGTTAATATAATGTACATTCATTCGGAACACTACATTTTAATATATCTTATTGGTGTTGTATTCGTTTGTATTATAGATCATGAAATTGAAATCATGTCCATCTTGAGGCCTGTTCTCTTAAATAATTCGTAAAATTAACATTTCAAATGAAAGAAATTGACAATGTTTGTCTTTTTGTTTTAGCTTCTCAACATAGCGAAAATATAGATGAAGATAGAGAAGAAGACGATGAAAATGAAATAAAATGTCCAGTCTGCGATAAACCCTTTCAAGAAATTGACGTGTAAGTACAAGAAAAATTACTCGTTAATGTCAATTCTTTTGATTTTACTCTCACAATTTCTAACAGTGAAATTATTATTTACTAAATCTGTACATAATATTCTTATTTAAAAAGCAGATATTAGAAGATTTACTGCTTAAATTAAAGCACACTGAAAAAATGTAGGGTAAACCGAGGAGGGAAATAACAACGCTTATACCTTTAAAAAAATTAATGGATTGTAGATTGTCAATTTGTAAATTTTGCAGATTGTAAATATTGATGTAGACCCATGTGAAAATCTTCCCAAAGTCACCCAAAGTGAGATTGAGTGCCAATGCGGGCCCAACTGGGCTTCCCAAAGTTCGAAAAATGAGAAAATAAAATAATTTAGTTTAATTATTATTTAAATAATATACTAGACAAATAAACAAAAAGACGCAGTAAAAATCAATAAAAACTTAAGAATACATGAGAATAATAAAATTTTAGTTTTATATTAATATCCAAATAATATTCCTTCTGGAAATTTTCACAAAAGCCAATCTCGGTCAGATCGGGGTTCCCATTTAAAAAAAATTGTATCTAAAGGGATTTTAACGCGCGACTTTTCAGCTTTTAAAGATGTTGAAAAAATATTTTTGAAGCCTGTATATGTTTGTCAGGTGTGAATGTTTACTATTTTTAATATTAAATTATCAAAAAGATCAACTTATTAATTCAGAATTAAAATTATTTTTCATCACATACGTAATACATTTTTTTAAAAGATAAATTTAAATTTTTTTAAATTCCTACAAACTAAAAATATAAAATGACTACCTAATAATAATATAGATTATGTGACTCACAATATTATAATAATAATAATAATAATAATAATAATAATAATAATAATAATAATAATAATAATAATAATAATAATAATAATAATAATAATAATAATAATAATAATAATAATAATAATAATAATAATAATAATAATAATAATAATAATAATAATAATAATAATAATAATAATAATAATAATAATAATAATAATAATAATAATAATAATAATAATAATAATAATAATAATAATAATAATAATAATATTATAATAATAATAATAATAGCTTAAAAATTATTTTTAACCCAAAATTTCAATCAACGTGCACATAATAAACGTAATTTATAATATTATAAACAATTTTCAACAACTTAAACAAATACGGGAAAGATTTGTGTTGTAAAACTGTGACGGCATAATGGTTCAAAATCTCCTAATAATTGTTATCCCCCTATTAATTTATGAAAAAAAGTAAATTCTTCTTTTTTATTTCGACTGTAATAAAAAATCTAAAAATATTAAACTGGAGGAGCCAACTCCACAAGCCTGAAAATCAGTGCCAGTGATATTAGAATGACAATAAATACTGAATTGAATGAATTGTAGGGTGGAGTACATTATCCACACTTACACGGAGAAAAATTCTTTTTTAATGATTACAATAGTCTACATTACAGCTCGGATATGTGACCACTTTTTGGAATGATTACGAAGACTATGTAATGTGTTAAGAATTGAGTAGGAACGATTACTATAGCTGTTGTATAAGGGATACCTTCATGTTTGTACTCCTTACAACAGCTATATAGTAATCATCACAAAAAGTGGTCACATATCCGAACAGTAATATAGACTATTGTAATCATTATGAATAAATTTTTCTCCGTGTAAGATAGAAATAAAAGCTAAAAAATCGTATGTTTATGCGAACATTATATTACCAATTATTGTACACTTTTATGAACCCTTAAAAAAGTCAAATGCTTTTGATTGATTTGACATAATAACGGCTTTAATTCAATTGCTCGTTGGCTGAAAATTTTTTCTTCTCATTACGAAATTAATTTTAATTAACAATCTTCACGAAATCATAATGGGCACGTTACTTCAACTCATTTTACTAATTCTGAAAAAGAGTTCAATTTTTATGGAATCTGACAATTTACAGCCAGTCTTTTTAGTTTCCCATAGTTAAAAATGTTGAACAAAAGTAAGCTTGTAAAAAATAACATGTAATACAACGTAGAAAACTAGATTCAAATACATACCTAGAGATCGAGGAATTACCTGTTTTGTAAAATATAAAATGTTAAACGATTCAAAATATTTAAGCTCCTTTATATTATCAACTTTGCGTGTTTCTAGATTACCTACCATGTATATTCACCTTGAAGGCATAATCTTGCTACTTGCAATGGGTTTCGCTCAATACTTTTTGAGAGTTAACAAATCCTATATATCTTCTCACATAATGTCATTCACTTCATATCAATAAATTGTTCATCCATTTAGTAGACACAAAATAAAATAAACTTTCTCCATAATTAAGCTTCTGGCGAAAAATCGATTTAATTTTTTAGTATTCCTTAATATATAAAAATTTATTTTCTTTTGCGACAGAAGTATTTGAAAATTAAAATTATTAAAACAATAAAAACATAGTTTTTAAATATACTTATTTGTATTTACCCAAAATTATATTTTCTATGTTTTTTCAGATTAGACAATCATTTGGTGGCGTGTCATCGTTACCCATCAGAACAGCATCGCTGTGAGAACTGTACGACTGGTTATGCATGGCGTCCACTGTTGGTCCGTCATCGCGCTCTTGTCCATGGTGATCTTCGTAAATATCTATGCGAAAATTGTCCCAAGGTAAGAATTACAATAGTTGTTTAACAAATTTAAAACAGTTACCATTAGATAGGGCTAATTTTCAAGTATCGCTAATAGATTGATGATTCACAGGTTTTCACAGATCCATCCAATCTTCAACGGCACATAAGATCACATCACGTTGGTGCTAGGAGTCACGCTTGTACTGAATGTGGGAAAACCTTCGCAACTAGCTCCGGCCTCAAGCAACACACCCATATACACAGTAGTGTAAAACCCTTCCAATGTGAAGTTTGTCAGAAAGCTTACACACAATTTTCAAATTTATGTCGTCACAAACGGATGCACGCGGTCTGCCGTACTCAGAGTAAATGTGGCAAATGTGGTCAATCCTTCAACACATCAACATTACTTACTAAGCACAAGAGGTTTTGTGATTCAACAACTGCCGCTGGCTCACCTGGAACCATGCCTCAACTTCCAACATCTGGCACAAGTCCCTTTTTGGTTTATCCCCGACCTCCGGTTTCCTTACCTGGTGGACTTTCCTTCTATCCTCCGAATCTCATGAGCCATTATCCTGCGATGTTCTCAGGAGCACCGAATTTCCTCAATTCGTCACTTTTATTTCCGCCGAAAATTGAGGAAACGGAGAAAAGATGTAAGAGCCCTAAGAAAGAACGATTTACTCCTCCTACAATCGTTCCTCAACATAGTAAAGTTTCTCCATCTACTGCAGAAGAAGCAACATCAACCTTTAGACCATCACCAGCAAGACCCGCAATTCAACTCATTCCTAAGATTGAACCATTAGAAGAAAAAATGGATCAACCAAAGTGGAAAGTGCCCAAAGTGGAAATAAAATCAGAAGAGTCCACCGAGGATAGTGTGGACCAACCCTTAGATCTTAGAGTTCAGACAAAGAAAAGGCCGGGTACTCCGGTGGGAACGACTTCTAAAAAGAAGCGCATTCTTTCTCCAGTACCTATTTCCATAAAAGAATCACACTCACAGATAAAGGAAGAGGCCGAAATCGACCTTAAGAATGTACCAATTCCTCCAAAAAGTAGTGTTTCTTCTGAACAATCAGCGCCGAACCCTCCCCACATGGTCTATCCTCGGCCGATTCATCCCATGTTCCTTGAGGCGATGTATAGACAGCCTGGAAGCTTTCCGGGGTTTCCGACAGCGCCACCACCTCCAAGTGGTCCCGGCGAAAATCGACTCCTTACTTCATTTCCATCGTTCGGTCCTCCTCGAGGACTTCCTTTTTTAGGTTCATTGATGAACGGCTTCAATGGCGCTAGACCAGGTGCTTACGATCATCTTCTCGCAAGGCCCTCGCTGCGCGCTTTCGACTCCTATTCAGACGCTGTGATACCCAACCATCATAATCACCCACACGGGAAAATGAAGGACCGTTATTCATGTAAATTTTGTGGGAAAGTTTTCCCGAGATCGGCTAATCTCACAAGACATCTTCGAACTCACACTGGCGAACAACCCTACAAGTGCAAATACTGCGAAAGGTCCTTTAGTATCTCGAGTAATCTTCAAAGACACGTAAGAAATATACATGACAAACAGAGGCCATTTAAGTGTCCTCTGTGTGATCGATGTTTCGGTCAGCAAACGAATCTTGATCGACACTTGAAGAAGCACGAAGCTGATGATGGTAGTGGAGTCGTTTCTGTGGCTGATTCTCCTGGAAGCAGCAACGAAAATGAGAGAGAGGATACATATTTTGATGAAATTAGATCATTTATGGGGAAAGTTACATATGGTGGAGAGAGTGGTTATGGTATGTCTCATCATCCAGCGTATTTGCCCGTAAGGCTGCATGAGATGCATGAACCAAAGGGAGATTTCGATGAGGATGAGGACAGTGAGGGAGCAGTCTCGCCCAACGATGAGGCCGAGATTTTGTCTCCTATTGATCCTAAGGATTCAGCTTCTCCACACTTTGATCATAAGTTAAGAGACAAGCAAAAGATGCTCAACAACAACACTTCTGAAGGGGTCATTGAGGTCTCCACGTAGCTGAGAGCTCAATACTCATGAAGTTGACGTTAAATGGAAATTCACTTTGTAAATTCAACATTTTTTAAAAGAATTTAGGTTAAAAAACTATTTTTTATGAATATCCAGGTTTTCACGTTAGAACATCATTAAAGGTCAATTATTGAACATATGACATCTGGATCTAAGTTATTTGCTATTTGTAAATTTTAAATCACTAGTCGATGATATTAATGTAGTTATTATTACCCAAAATCTTTTAAACAATTTCAATTAGACTGTCACTTACAATCTAGAATTAAAGTTTAGCTTTTGATTTGTTTATTATAATCTTAATTTTCTTCGTTTGTAGTAGGTTATTAACCTGTCAGGTTTAAATGTTGTCTCGTCAATAATTAAGCCATACATATTTTTGTGAAAGTATTTTATACTTTTACAAACAATATATATGGCTTTTGGATTTTATGTCGACGTGACTATTGCCAAGTTCAAACAAATTAGGAGTAAGCGAAAATAATTATGTTGAGTTTTTGATTAATTAATTTTAATTAATTTTAATTAATTAATTAATTTTTTGATTAATTCAAATTAATTATAAACAGAACGAATGATTGTCATAAAGTGTAAAAATGCCGACTACGAATAGGGGAGACGAAATTTTGTAAAAAAATGAAAAAGTCAAAACATTCAGGAGAAAAAAAATCAGGCTAAGAAAAAAAAATTAGATTAAAATTGAAGCAACATAAGTTACCCCAATTATTTTCGCTTACTCCTAATTGTTTTACTGGGTCTATTTAAAACTTATATAAAAGTTAATGTATTAAACAGACAAACATTTGAAGGGAACACATCGAAATGCGAAATGAAACAAAATTTTATTGAAAGACAATTTAATACTTTTATTCATACTCATTTTTTTATGATTTTAATTTCTTTTCTTTAACCAGTTAAACCAAAGCGTTCTAGTTTCAAAATTGTCTTTAACTTACATTAATTTATGATTGCATTCTCTTTTTCAAAGATGGGGAAGATGTGAACTAAAATTGTTATTAGAAATTGAACATCAATTACAAACTAAGTGAATAATATGAAATAAACAAAAGTAATCTAATATGAATAATATTTTTTTTATTTTCAAGTATATAAAAATATAAAAATTACAAATATAGAAATTTTATGTTTTGTAAATTTATGTTATAACTTGCAAACAAAAATCATTTTATTCTAAAAGATGTTTTATTTCACGAATTTCAGAAAACATTTAGTCTCTCTCAATTTTGCAGAAATAAATTTTCATAACTTGAAAGCACGCGAGTTTCAGAACTACCTACTGTTTCTTTTTTAAATCGGCATTCTTATATTCTAGGACACTGTGCTTTTAAATTATGATGGCTACTCTGCTCATATAATCTTAGTTTTAATGTTACAATAGGAACGTTTTCGGCATTAAAAAAAATTCACTAAAACATTCCGATACGGTTTTAAAAAAATTCGTATTGGGTCAACGCTTACTCTCAATAAGAAAAGGCTCTACAGAATACTTTCTTTTTTACTGGGAAACTAAAGAGTTTAAAAGTAATATTTTTGATAAAATATTATTTTGTATCACTAATACTATTTACTTAAAAACATAAAATTGCAGAAATTTATGAAGCTTTTAGTTAGATTCCATTTCTTTTGTAAAGTGATTATTAATTAGAATACGAAATTTCCAGCAGTATATTTTGCAGTCGATATTTAAGTAAAGATTATTACATTTGATAATAAAAATAATTTGAGAGAGAGAGAGAGAAAGAGAGTTGTTTGAAAATGTATGTAAATGAACATGCGCAAGAACCATGCGCAAGAATTATCAACCGGGGAGAGAGAGAGAGAGAGAGTATACATTTTCATAGAAAAAAGTAAAATATTTGTCAATCAAAATTTATATAGTTCAGAATGTAATATGTAGTCAAGAGAAGCCAAAATGTAAGAAAGTAAAAGAAAAACGTTGAAAATGTATTTAAATGAAATTCTATAATATGTACAAATTTCCAAGTAGGCGATAAAAGGATAAGTTTGTAAAAACAGAATCGAAAAATTTATGTATCTTATATTAATATATAGATATTTGAAAATATATAAAAATATTACATTATTAGCAAAAATAATAAAAAAAAGCGTTACTCAATTCTTCTTAAATGAAATATATTCATATTGCGTTTACGGTTTCAAAATACTTGATAAGTAAATTGATTGATCCGATACACGCGTTTTATTGTATTAAAAATAAAAAGGAAAAGCACTCTGCAAAACACACAATTGGAAACATTTATTTCCCCAAAAAAACAATCACCAATTTACAATATTACAATATAACTCTAAATAAACATAATATCCTTTAATATAAATTACATTATTCCTTTTTGTATTAATACTACACTGGATGAACCTACTGTTACAACTTTTTGACTGTCGATTTTGCCGAAATACATAGTTTACAAATCTCTGTCGAACTATAAGCGATATTGTAATCTTACTAATTTGATAAGTGTACTTACGTCACACGAATACTTAACGATTATAATAACGATTTTGTCTATCTATACATACTGTATAAAATCAACTATACTTCTGTATTATTGCAATTAAACATTATACTTAAATTTAAATATGGATTTAATTTAATTTACAATTTTTTATCCCACGTTAAAATCTTGCAACAATAACAGAATATCTGTAATGAGACAGCATAAATAAGATATTTACACGGAGAAACTTTTTCTTCTAATATTGAATATATTTGGTTATCTTTATTCTAAAAGTACGTTAGAATGTGAGGATTTTTCGTGCGTTGTGCTAATAATTTCAACATTAATACGAAAATATGATAAGTTCGTTATATATTAAGCAACCTTCGGTGTACAAAAATTACTATCTGCATTAGAAATAGTCTTATTTTTCTTTAGAAAAGAATAAAATGCTAGTTTTTGTTTGTGAAATAATACGGTAATTCTAACCTTTTTTCCACATATAGATAGAATATATAACAGACATTCTAACGTAACATACCAATTTTGGAAGGACTGCGGGCGGACTTAACCGATTTCGCCCGAGCATCACCGAGTCCATCACCTGACGTCGCGAACTAACCCTAATGTTTTCGAAGTTGAAATTCACACGTGTATGAAAGAAAAAAACCTTTTATTAATAAACGTGAATGTCTCCTCATGCCAAATTAAATTCAAGAACTGTTCCTCAATATAACATAATTTTTTTCACGACTTTTACTTATTTACATAATTTGATTAGTAAGTTATTTTAAAAAATGCTCTCTCTCGAAGGCACATATTTTTCCACTCGTTTAATATATAAGGACGATTCAGCTGTGTACTTCTAACGAATCGTGCGATCTTGATATGACTATATCATAATGTTGCTATATAAAAATAATATGAGAGGAAAGAAGCACAGCAATAACAGGCGAGGCGCTCGGAATGATCCCCCACTACAAGGAGATAACTTGAAAATTATCTGAAAAATAATTTTTTTTTCCAACAATTTCAGATTGTTCAGTTAAAAACTGTATGTAAAAATTATAAACATTTGTATTCGAGCATGCATTGCACAGAAAGTAAGTAACCTATCGAATAAAATGAGACCCGAACATTGAACGAAGTGAAGTATGCAATATTGAAAATAAAATAATAAACGGCAGAAAACTTATTTTTCATAACGCGGTGCAAAAAAGGGCACTTTTTTGCACCTTGTTATGAAAAATATCGTTCGTAACTAGTGCTAGCAGTTGCCAATTTTTGAACGAGCACTTTTTTTTTGTAGGCGAAGCTTCGCTTTGCCTACAGTTTGTTCCAAAAAAAGTGCTCATTCAAAAATTGACAACTGCTCGCACTCGTTACGAAACATACTATATTATTATTTATTTAATATTAAATTTTTCATTTTCGTCGCAAAATTATTTCGTTTTTGAAACTCCAAATTAAAAAAAATTAATAATTAATTTTTTTTATAAATTATCTAACAGTTTTAAACATATTTTTCCACAATCCTCCTACGAGTTGCCTTCTGTATTTCTAATCGTTCGTTAATGTGAAATAAATTATTATTAAGATTAAAAGATTAGTTTTACTGTAAACATTTTTAATATTTAATTGAAAGTACTTTTTCGTTTCTCAAAACAATCAGATATTTAATCAATATATAATTGATTTGAAAGATAATTTAAATAATAATATAATTATAGAATAATTTGTTAGATAACACAGTGCAACATTTTTGAGGTCATCGAATGTGCACTAAGTTTTGACTTCAGTTTCTGAAAGTACTTATCAAAACTAGCAAAAACCTATTTCAGTTTAGCTAGATTAGCTCGGATTTGAATTTTATCGACATTTGAATTTTTTTTTTGAATTTTCACATTTTTCAGTTTTCTGATACGGGCGGATGGGAACACAGGCTATTAAAAGTTTATTAAAAAAATTCGCAATGGTCACAATTTGAAAAGCAATAATCTTTCTTTAATTACAGATAAAGAAAAAAAATTTGGTCGGAAATTGTTCCAGTAACGAATTTTTTTTTGGCTTTTTTACATTTTTTGGTTTTATGAAAAGGGCGGGTGAGAAAGCTGGCTATTAAAAGATTATTAAAAAAATTTCGCAGTGGTCACCATTTGAAGAGCAATAATTCCTCTTTAATTTCTGACATTAAAAAAAATTTGGTCGAAAATTATTTGAGTTATGAATTTTTTTTTGTAATTTTTCAAATTTTTCGGTTTTTCTAATACGAGAGGGTGGGAACGCTATCTATTAAAAGTTTATTACACAAAATTTCCAATTATCATAATTTGAAATGCAATAATCGCTCTTTAAATTCTGATAAAGAAAAAAAAATTTGGTCAAAAATTGTTCGAGTTATGAATTTTATTTTGACTTTTTCACATTTTTCGGTTTTTTGATAAAGCGGGTGGAAACGCTGGCTATTAGAAGTTTATAAAAAAATTCGCAATGGTCACCATTTGAAGAGCAGTAATTCCAACCTAATTTCTGACATTAAAAAAAAAATTTGGTCGAAAATTGTTCGAGTTATGAATTTTTTTCGTACTTTTTCAAATTTTTTTTGTTTTTAATCCGGGCGGGTGAGAACGCTGGTTATTAAATTTTTCTTTTTTAAAAACGCAATGGTCACATTCTGGAGAGCAATACTTCCTCTTTAATTTCTGACAAAGAAAACAAAATTTGGTCAAAAATTGTTCCACTTATTAATTTTTTTTTTACTTTTTCACATTTTTCAATTTTTTGATCAGGCGGGTGGGAACGCAGGCTATTAAAAATTTATAAAAAAATTTCGAATGATCACAATTTGAAGAGCATTAATCCGTCTTTAATTTCTGCCCAAGAAAAAAAATTTGGTCAAAAATTGTTCAAGTTATGAATTTTTTTTTACTTTTTTTAATTTTCGTTTTTCTGATAACGGAAGTGGGAATACTGAATATTAAAAATTTATAAAAAGAATTCGTAATGGGCACAATTTAAAGAGCAATAATCCCTATTTAATTTCTGCCCAAGATAAATATTTGGTATAATATTTCGAAATATTTGGTTTCGAAAAAAGTCAAAAAAAAATCAAAACCCTCGGTTGCACAGGACCGCGGGTATACAAATGTACAGAAATAAATAAATAACACGAATAATTTTCTACCAATTTTTTTTCTTTTATCAGAAATTAAAGAAGGATTATTGCATTTTAAAATGTGACCGTTGTGAATTTTTTAAATTCATTTCTAATAGCCGCAGCGTTCCCACCCGCCCGTATCAAAAAACCGAAAAATGTGAAAAAGTAAAAAAAACCATAATTAGAACAATTTTTGACCAAATTTTTTTTCTTTGACAGAAATTAAAGAGGAATTATTGCTCTGCAAAATGTGACCATTGCGTTTTTAAAAAAGAAAAATTTAATAACCAGCGTTCTCACCCGCCCAGATCAAAAACAAAAAAATTTGAAAAAGTACGAAAAAAATTCATAACTCGAACAATTTTTGACCAAATTTTTTTTTCAATGGCAGAAACTAGGGAGGAATTACTGCTCTTTAAATGGTGACCATTGCAAATTTTTTTTATAAACTTTTAATAGCCAGCGTTTCCACCCGCTTTATCAAAAAACCGAAAAAT